CCTCCCTTCATTTTCATCCTCCTGTTCCTTCTCCCGCACACACGCAGCCTGCAGGGGGATTGTCTCCAGCTATGCTTGGCTCTGATTTGGGCTTATAAAACACAGGCCACCAGCAGCAACCTGGCATTCACAGCAGATCCAATTTCAAATTCTCAAATGTTTATGCAACGGGCTATTTTGGGAAATACTAGGATTTTCCTGAACAGCTGTAAAACCCTAATACTTCCCTAAATTATTTATATTTTGTAGAAAAATGCACTAGACATTTATTTCAACTTTTGAATTTTAAAAGAAACATATAAACTCAATTTGAACAACCTGCAATTAAAATATAACTTAACTTTTATTTAAAACAGAAAAATAAACAAAAAACTTCAGAAGGAAGAGAAATATGTTAAAATTGAAAGATTCTTCTCTGAATAACTGGTTGCATTGTTTCACTAAATAGAGATTAGTTGTTAAGTTTAGAATTATCTGGGTGGATTCTGTTTTTAACATGAGTTTTAAATCACAGAAATATGTGAAATATTTACATAGGTGCATTTTGTTCTTTGTACCTTAAATGAAGATGTTTCTTTGGAGAAGGTGATATGGTAATTAACAACATTTTTTTTTAATGGTTTTTTGAGACAGAGTTTCTCTGTGTAGCCCTGGCTGCCCTGAAACTAGCTCTGTAGACCAGGCTGGCTTTGAACTCACAGAGACCCATCTGCCTCTGCCTTCTGAGCGCTGGGACTGAAGGCACTACCACCACCCAGCTAATACTTCAGTTTTTAAGTGATTTCTGTTTAAATCATTTTAATGGCTCTGATAAATTTCCCTTGAAAATAGAACTTTCCATTTTTTCTTTTTGCTTTTTTATGATTTATTTCTTTTTAATCTTTATGTGGAAGTGTGAATTCTTTCATGTATGTCTGTATAACATACATATCCAGTGTTCAGGAAAGCCAGAGGAGGACACTGGCTCCCCTTTAAGGGGAGTGACAGGCAGTTGTGAGCTGCTGGGTGGATGCTGGGAACTGAACCTGGGTCCTGGCAAGAGAAGCAAGCGCTCAGAACACAGCCCACTCCACGGACTCCTTTTAGAAACACTAAATCTTTTCATTTTTTTTGAAAGAGCAGATCCCAAAAGGAAAGGGGGAAGTGAAGAACCAGCCTGCCTCCATCTTAGGTTGAAAGTTCTTTTATAGTAAAGACAAGATATGTTCATTCCTGTTTATGACTAACCCTCTGTTTCTCAGGGATGGGGCTATGACCCACCTGTATCCTTAACTACAAATCTCCATCTCTCTCTCTTTTTGTTTCTGTCTTTCTTTCTTGCTTGCTTTCTTGCTTTATTTCTTAAAATTTATTTATTTATTCACTTTATAGCCCTATGGCAGCCCCCTCCCTTCTCTCCTCCCACTTCCACCCTCCCACCCTCTTCCTTGTTTCCCTTCTCCTCAGAAAAGGGGAGCTCCCACCACCACCCACCTTTCCAGAAATAACAACCACGTCTTTGTTTCAAAAGCTGTTTATAACCACCTTGCAAACCTGTCTTTTAAAATCCACTTGGAAACCCCCAACCCCTGAACTCCAAAAGCTTTGTCTGTCTCACACCCACTGTTGGCCTCTCCACCTCACCTTAGGGAGAGGTAGTCCCTGTACACACACACACACACACACACACACACACACAAAGTTTGCTTTATTTAACTGCTTGCTTCAGTTAATTTGACCATGATGATTTGGGTTGGTGATCTTCCCTCCTAATCTTTGTGTCTAATAGAAGTTCCTTGTTCCTGCCACTTTTGTGTTTTCCATCACTTTAGGGGCAGACTTACTGTTGTTTCCTTGTTGCTGGTTTAAATTTTTTCTTCTCCAACTTCCAGAATAACCTGTTCCTCATTAACCTCCACAAGGGGTTTTTCAGGGTCTGCAACTCACATTGAATGTGGTTGATGTTGGGCCTGCCTCTCAGAGGTGTGAATGAAGACAATGCTGAGGGGTGGGGGAGGAGGCTTGGTAAGAGCATCTTTTTTTTTTTCCTTTTTTTTTTCTTTCCCAGCATTGAATCTTAGAGGACCACCCACACAAACAGCCTCTTCTCTCACCCTCCATGGTCAGGATTAAGAATTATGAAGACAAAGCAATCGCAAAAACAGAGTTTGTCTTAAAGTGCTCCAATCTTTACTGCTACTTTGCTGTGCCCAATTTACAAGTTTTTGATTAACTGTACGACGAGATGCAAAGAAAGGAGGGCTTGGATTTATGCATATCCTGTCTCTATTATTATGTATGAGCTTATTCTTGGTCTGCTGGTATATTGCAAAAAGAAAATGTGAATTATTTTGAAATAGCCCAGAATCTTCAAACATACGGAACTTAAACTGATTTCTCACAGAAGCATGGTTTCCTACAACTGCAGATTACACTCCACCTGGAGCTGCAGCACTTCTCCAGGGAAACAGGACTCAGTTTTCCTTCTTCTAGAAAGCACAAACTCCAGGAGCCTAGTCCCCTGGACTGACGGTTGCAGAATCCCTGCACAGAAGAAAAAAAAAAGTGCATTCATTCTCTTTGTGGCAGAGGGAGCACAGAAAGATTTCAGCACAATTAGAAATATAATGAAAACCTCAGACTAAATCTTAGGGACTGGAACAAAACCATCACCACGAATATTTGAGGTTGCTTCATGGTTTCCTGGAAGTTGTGCAGGCGGAAGCATGTGTGTTTACATTTTCCCACAGCTTTTGGCCTTTTAGACACATGTGCGCACTCCTTGTGACTGGCCATGCAGCTGTTCTCTCTCTGTTCTTGCCTCCGTGGATATATTTAGAAGTAAAACGATTCCAGTTTTGTGATGAAGGTTTTATTGCCCAGAATGTATCAATATAGCAATGTTTGTGAACTGTCAGGTCTGTTTAGTGCTATCAAATGTGAATAGCTTTTCTCTTGGCCACGCTAAGGGTCCTCATTTGTGGTTTCCTGAGGTTACTGTAGCAACAGTTATTCAGATATGAAGACTGCCGTTTATTAGTGATATAATTGAAGTGAAAATAATTTAAATTTAATCATAAGCCAATTCCTTTGAAGAGACAGGCTGTGGCAATCGTTTGAATTTCGACAGAGAAAACCTGAGATAGGAAAGCTCTAACTGAAGGAATCCCAAGGGTGTATTTTCTGCTGGGCACTATCTAAAGAAAATCAATATTACATTAAGTGGTAAATCTTTTATGCTCCAACAAAGCACTCCGCTTCTCCATTTAATTAATAGCAAATTCAATAGGACAGCAAATCTCTGGAGAGTTGGTTACCACAAAAAGCCTTGAGCCTTGAACACCATCACTCACTGTTTGTGGTAACCCACGTGCCGTTAGGGCTCCGTCTGAGCAATGCTGTGTTTCCAGCACTCAGACCGTAATACTTTCCACACCTGTGCACAAATTCAAACGATTGCACCTGCAGAAAGGGCACTGTCTTTGATGACTCATCCATCCTGGACCAAGCCCAGTGCCAGACCTGCTGTAATGTCAAGGCGAAGACATGGTGCCTTTGTCTCTGCCAAGGCTTCAGCTTGGCTGCTTGTAGGAATGTACAAAGGACCATGAAGCAAAATGGAAGTTGACAGTATGCAAGTGACGTGGGTGACTGACTAGGGAAAAGTTTTAAATTTTGTTTAGAAAAAAATGAAAAAACACAGTATTAAACCACCTACTTAAGGTGGTTTTCGTTCATATGAAGGAACACAACGCAGAACTTGGACTGTAATATGGATGAAAAATATCCTTTTGCACCCACAAACTCAGTTGTGGAAAATGGAGATAAAGGCAAAACTCTTGACAGTGCACTTTCTTCTCAAGAGATTCTTCTCTCCCAATATTTTCACACCTAAAGATCTTCAGGGGTCTAAGGACCCTGCAGAGACGCTTCCAGGTCCTCCCTTCATGGGGAAGCGTTGCCACAGAAACGGTTTGTTACAGGAAGAACCCCTTGTCAGATTCAACTTAAGACACAGAGATGTGGAGTTGTGGCGGGAGGTTCCGGGCCCTGTGGTCCTGCCGGGAGACTGCCTGGTAGCTTTTACACCGCAACAGCGGCCCCTAGAGGCAATCTGGACGAAGGTTTTGGTTTTGTTTTTTTAAATACTAGCTTGATTTGAATTTTACAGGAGTTGTTAGAGGGAAGAAAACAGGATTCACTGCAGACGCAGGCACACAGAGTGACACTGGGTTTACACACCCACGGAAACTGTCTGCTTTCATCACTGGCTGGGTGTAGTTCGTGAGACATGTTATCAGCTAAATGCTATTGTGTGGGACTGGCTGAAAAATGTCGCTTTCAACATTGCTAGTATCAGCCGGGGTAGAGTGTCAATCTGTGTTTAGGAGATGCTGAAAAAAAAAAAAATTGCATGTTCAGGGCGACAAAGCTACAAATAAATAAAGACGTTTACTGGCTGTTAATTTCCCAACTCTTTAGCCTGAAATGGTAATTTTGCTGCTTTGCCATCGGCTCTTAGGTTGATTAAGGGACTGCTGATGAACAGGGAATTAAACACGTTTGCTTTCTAAAAGCACATCTTTAGTTTAAGAAAAGCATTAAAGGAATATGCTTCTCTCTCACTATCCTTGACATGTTGATATTTTATTAAATTCAGTTAGGGATTTATAGCGTGGACAGAGGGATGTGGATGATTTAAATATCTTCTACTGTGTGTTTGCCCTGTTTCCCTCTTAAGTGTGCTCTTAGTTCGGATGGTTGCTATTTATTTATCATTTCTTGAAATGTAGCGTTACTAATTACGTAATTAGACTAAATGCATACTTCTTCTCAGTTGTTCTGTTCTCTTCGTTCTCTCTGTGGTACTTACCGTGCCGCTACCTAAGGTTCCCGTGAAGGATATCCGTGTTAAAGTTTACTCTAGTGATCTGCCCAGCAAACCCAGGTTTAAACCTCGTTTCCGCTCCTGGCAGTGCTGAGTCCTCATAGGAGTTTCTGGTCTTCCTTTCTCACTACAGAACCTCGATGCCCTGCACGACCACCTCGCCACCATCTACCCAGGCATGCGCGCACCTTCGTTCAGGTGCACGGATGCAGAAAAAGGCAAAGGGCTCATTCTGCACTACTACTCGGAAAGAGAGGGCCTTCAGGACATCGTTATCGGGATTATCAAGACTGTCGCTCAGCAGATACACGGCACTGAGATCGACATGAAGGTAATGGCCACCAGCCAAGAGGTTTCTGATGGCAAGTGGCAATCAGAACATTTGAAATGCCGCCACAGTGATTGCTGCTCATGGGCTGCATGAACAGCACCTGTGAGCCAAATGGTGCAACCCAGCAGGCTTCTCTATTCGGCCTTTGAGTGAGTGATGCTGGGCCGTTTTCCCTTGCAAAATATTATCTTTATATGTTGCTTACGGCAAGAGGAAACTCGGTTACTTTCTATGAAAACATTCCAGCTGTGGACGGAGAGGGGCACCCATCTGACTCAGTTACAGTTTCCACATGCAAGCTATCAGATTGTGGATAGTGAAATGTAGAGAATATATTAAATTAGCTGACCTTACAGATTACTTTTTCTATGTGAATTCTTTTGTCTTTCCTGGAATATACCTAGAACATTTTTTTTGGTCAGTTTGTGTTTACGTTCTTTCTTTCTTTCTTTCTTTCTTTCTTTCTTTCTTTCTTTCTTTCTTCCTTTCTTTCTTCTTTCCCTTCCTTCCTTCCTTCCTTCCTTCCTTCCTTCCTTCCTTCCTTCCTTCCTTCCTTCCTCCCTTCCTTCCTTCCTTCCTTCCTTCCTTCCTTCCTTCCTTCCTTCCTTCCTTCCTTCAAATCATGTTGTACTGGTGAACATAGCCAAACCAGCTCTGTTCTATTGATGCTATTGATGACACCCTTTGCTATTTTTGAATGGTGATTTCAGGGTACCAATACAGAGACCATGCAATGAAGAAAATTGACATTTTTCTTTTTCTGGCTTCTGCAGCTTCTTCTGGTCAGCTGCATTTTTTGTGCGTCTCATATTGGTCCTCAAGTGCAGTGTGACTGTAGGTTCGCTGTACTGATGTGCCTGTTCTTGGGCCTATCCCAGTAGGCCAAGAGGGTACTCTCTTCTTAGTCCTCCCAAAAGGCTGTATGTGTGTTCTTGGGGAATTCATACCAGAATGAAAATGATTATGTATTAATCATAATGGGAGATAGTTATGCTGGTAGAATGCTTGCCTTCTGTACAAAAGGCCCTGGACTCCTTCAGCGTGGTACAAACTGACCACAGTGGCCCAAGGCCGTGATCTCAGTACTTGGAGATGAGCCCGAGGATCTGAAGTTCAGATCTTCTCAGCCACCTAGCTGACCGTAAGCTTGCCTAACGGAATCTTGCCTAAAATACACAAGACCATATAGCCAAAGAATGCCTTCACATCGCACAGATCCAGAACTATCTAGAAAGATTTTTCAGCTTTGAAAAAAAAAAGATTTATTTATTATTTATACAGTATGCTGTCTGCATGTATGCCTACACGCCAGAAGAGGGCACCAGATCTCATTATCAGCTTTACATATGTGCAGCGTTTGTGTGTATTTTAACTTTTCTAATTTTCTAAGCACAATGTTCATAAGCAGCCCCTCATATTGACATATTACAACTAAGCTGAAATACCAGCAGTCAACCACGTTTTCTCTCACTGACATCTAGGTTATTCAGCAAAGAAACGAAGAATGTGATCATACTCAATTTTTAATTGAGGAAAAGGAATCGAAAGAAGAGGATTTTTATGAAGATCTGGACAGGTTTGAAGAGAATGGAACCCAGGAATCGCGTATCAGCCCGTACACCTTCTGCAAAGCATTTCCTTTCCACATAATATTTGACCGGGACCTCTTGGTCACCCAGTGCGGCAATGCCATTTACAGAGCGCTCCCCCAGGTAAAAAGCACAGCAGCACCCGCTTGGGGCCTGACCCTGTTACAGGCTCCGCCCCTTTCTTAACCTCTGACGACAAGGCAGGCTGTATCCCACACATTTATAAGCCAGATGTATTTGGAAATACTGAAAATGTCCTTAGGACTTATTTGTTTTTTCTTCCACCGCTTACATGGAGAGGAGGAAGTTATATGAGAACTGTAGACTTGCTTTGTGAGGAAATGGGGGACCTTGCTAACAGCAGTCAGCTCTCATTCATGTTTTTGTTCATTGAATAAATATTCACTGCCTAGCTGCCTTCCAAAAAATAGTTATCAAAATCAGCTGCTGACAAGGGGAAGAAGAAACACTCAAGGTGGAAAACATACACGTGAACATGGGCAGAGTGATGGAGCATTGGAGGGCCACAGAGGGTTTGCAGCTACATCTGACTAGCATTCCCAGGGACCGTCAGAAAACTTCCTGTGTACTTACTCTCTCCTATCCCACGTTAGGATTTGTCCACGGCATGTGTGGGTCTGGAGGTGCCTTTTGCTTTGATTCAGGGCTGGAATACGAAGGTCTTGGGTAAAGCGATGGTTGAGAAGCAGAGGGTGTGTCCTCATGTGGCTCTTCCTCGTGGCTGCTTCCCTGCCCTGACACAGGGAACCTTCAGATACTGAGGACCCTTCAGTGCAGTTACTTGCTGCATCATAAGGAGCTGCTGTGTGTTCTTACTTCTACTAATGTTATCTCCCTTTTTATGAATTTAAACAAAGTATTTGCTGCTGTTTTGACATTCCATTTCAGCCACAGGCATCTAGCACATAATGCTGCAGCTTAGGAGATAAATTTTCTTCTTTCTCTTAAAATGATTATTTTATTTGTATCAGCTTATATTTACATGTTAGTCACCTAAATTTATGTTAGGTTTCCTGTTCCTGTAAGTATTTGATGTTTACTTAATCACTTGGTTGCAAATAGCACAATTTGAGGCCACATTCAGGGTAAATTTCTCACACAATACTTTTGATTTTTTTTCACTTATGTATTGTATTGATCTGGCTTAATTTCAAGATAAATATCTAATCATAATGTCATTCTCAAGCAACTGAGTGTTCTTTGCTTTTTTTCTGTATTTTAGCTCCAGCCTGGGAACTGCAGCCTCCTGTCTGTCTTCTCTCTGGTCCGCCCTCATATTGACATCAGTTTCCACGGGATTCTTTCACACATCAATACAGTTTTTGTACTGAGAAGCAAGGTAATCAAGACTCCCTTCAGCTGAATGTAAGCAAGACATGCTATCAATCGACAGTAGTGGAGAACGGAAATCATCTATGAGCATTGTGTGTGATATGGTGATATAAGAAAATAAAACACAGCTTTCAAGAGAGGGATGTTTGGCAGGAGGCATGGACTCTGTCAGCTGATCAGAATGAGAAAAACAAATTGGGGACAGTGCTTTGTTGGGAACAGCTCAGTCACACATAATAAAGCCAACATCTACTCCCTTGAAGTTACAATGCTTTATTTCCCCTCCTTACAAGAAGTCTTTGATAATGTCACCAAAGCCAGAGATTAATTCTTCTATAAATTGTTTATAATTCTTGCTAACATTTTTTTCAGTAAGGAAGTAAAGGGATTGAAAACTCAGAAACTTATGTGGTTGGTAGTTTAGTTTCCATAGCTCCACAATTATGTTCCTGGGATAATTGTAGTTAGCACAATTTCCACACTTTTTATACTCTGCGCATGACTTTCCAAAGTCACAGCCACTTGTGTTTTTATGTTTGTGACTGACTGCTCTCAGTTGTTCTGTGAATACCCAACTAAGCTTGGCTTAGTTTTGGTACAATTCAACAATGAGTGTTGTGGTCACACTGGAAAATCACGGAAGCTTACAACAAACGCAGGAGCAGTGGCTCGGGGCTGCCATCGTGAGTGCAGAGAAAACCACCAGCCACTGGGCTTCTGACCTGGGGCAACGCCCCTCCAGTTCTATCCTTAGAGTTTACAAAGTGAGGAGTTTGGTTGTTTGGTCCTTCCTGATACTTTGTCAGGCAGGAGAAAGGCAGAAGCCAATCTTTTGTCTTTTCTGTTCAAGGAAGGATTGCTGGATGTTGAGAAACTTGAATGTGAGGATGAACTGACTGGGACAGAGATTAGCTGCTTACGCCTCAAGGGCCAAATGATCTATTTACCGGAGGCAGATAGCATCCTCTTCCTCTGTTCACCAAGGTAACAACTTTTGCCTTAATTGTGATTGATAAAAGTTAAAAACAAGTTCAATGAAACTTCACTAAAAATCTTCAATCAATATGTATTGGTTGTGTATGTAAACTACACGGACAAATACAGCCTCACTTAATCCAATGGTGTATTAGTCCACAATGCTCATTTCTGCTGAAGTATAAGCTGTATTTTCAAAATCTCATTATGTGAATCTTTATAACAAGAGTGATTGCATTGGGCATTTCTAAAATCTCAAAGTCCCACCTACTTTATGACATAGCAGAATCTGTTTCTGAAGTTTTTATGACATTAAATCATAGGATGAGTAATCTGCTAATTCAGTATTTTGTACTTTTGAAAAAAGCATCATGTAAGAGAACAATTATAAGAAAGTATACAGTATAATGACATAAATAAAGAATTTTCTATAGTTAGTAACAATTATAAAAAGATGAATGATTTTTTTTTTTGTTCTGAGCCACTTTAAAGTAAAAATATTTAACTATTTTAATTGGGTTGCACTGTTCAAGGTGTATTATTCAATTGAAATTTATGTTAAAAGTTATATATAATAAAAATCAGAAGAGAAAAGCATGGGTTGTTTTGCTAGCTTTAACACTTTTCTAAAAGATACAGGAGGGTATGGAATATGTATCTATTGAGCAATGGGAGACGGTAACTATGGTGCCTATTATTAGATGATATTTTATACATAATGTTATATAACCGTAATTATGATTTATTTTCTGAGAATTATTTATCATGAAGACAAAAGAGATGAAACAGTGAAAGATAAAGTATCTTTAAAGCTAGTACCATCCAGGGACCCACTGATAACACATGTGCTTTTAGCTCTGCATTTTCCTGACTGGGTGTTAGTAGAACGACGGCCTCACTTTCGGGAGAGTCTCTATCCAGAAACAGAAAGGTTTCTTTGGAGAGAGAATCACAAATTGTAGAATATATGCTTTTATTTTAATATACAGAAATTAGTCCTACAGTGATACATTTACCAAGTACCATGAAATCTATTTAAATGGAAGAAGTTTTGCTTATAAAATAATTCTAAATGATTAATTCAAACTAAGAAAAAGCAATATAGGTTAATTTTTGAGACAGGATGTTGTGGTGCAGGCTAGCCTCCACATAGAAGTATAGACGTGCATAAGAGGGGACACTGGACCCTCTGGTCTCTACCCCTGAAGACTGATAAGAACGCGCATGCACCAGAACACCCAGTTATAAGGTGCTGGGGACTGAATTCAAGACTTTCTTGCATGTCAGGCAAACATTCTAACAAAAGACCTATAAGGAGACCCCTCAGGAACTTTCAGAAAAATAAGCTATGTATAATTTCATCATGTTTCCTACCTCAGTATGAATGATCTTTCACCTAGTATTCATTTCATTCTGATCATTATAATCCTTCTTTTAATTTCCTTTCCACCTCTATTTCCTCCCCCCTCTCTTTGCACATTCCCTTCCTACACTCACAACCTTATTGTTATTCTTTGTTTTGATTTCACGTCTTTTGAGACTCACTGAGTTTAATGAAGATCATCTTTATCACCTATTCATTGTTGAAACTATTCACTAGGGCTTGCCTGGCTCCTTGGTGGGTACATGAATACACACAATGGCTGCCTTTCCCACAGAATCTCTCAGTATCAAGGGGTAGTTCATCAGGGAGAGGTAAGGCTCCTAAGCTCCCCAGCCCATGATTGTTGAAGCTCAGGCTTCTGGAGTCCACTGCCAGCAGCCAAAGCTGCTGCAAGGCCACAGCCACATCGGCAGTGCCATCCCAGCAACACAGTATTTCACAGCCCTCTTCCATGTGGGAGAGGGCTGCCACATTCTTCTAGCTCTTACATTCTTTCTGCCCTCCTCTGTGGATGTTTCTGAGCCTTCTCAGGGATGGTATAAATATTGTCTTTAGGGCTGAACATTCAACTGTCACCCCTTAGCATCTTGAGCAGCTTTGCATCTCTGTAGATACCAACTTTACAGAGAAGGTCTCTGGTTAAGGCTGTGAAGTGGCATGTGTCTGTAGGGATAAACAGACACATTTCATTTAGAAGTCAGCTTGGCTCCGTGACGAATAGTTAAACAACAGTGTTAAGTTCTCCCCCAGGGCCTAAGTGCTACTCTGGAGGAGCGGGCCTCACATCCAATCAGAGAGCAGCCGGTTATTCCTGTCCCAGTTGTGCAGCTCCTTCGTAAGTGAGCAAATCTTGCTTCACAGATCGGTACTGAAGATCACAGAGTTCACAGAGGGATAAGCCCGCTGATGCCTTTTCTCCTCAGCGGTCTATAGACTCCTTCTGGGACTAGAAAGCTACCCAGCAGGAAGCAAGCTTCCAGCCCAGTTGTAGACTGAGTTCTTCACAGCTTTCAAGGCGCGTGGTGGGCTCAGCAACAGGGTTTCAGCAACTAGTTCTTGTGTGCAGCTGAGAAGCGTGTTGAGAGACTGTGGTGAGTGTGTTAAGAGGTTCTACGGCCTTCCTGACCAAGAGTCTGTTACACCTGTCACTGCGGTACCCATTTCACTTTTAAGATTATCCATTTTGTCTTTGCCCATGGGTAGATCTTGTTTGGCCACATTTGGATCTCTGCCATCCTTTTGAGTGGATTTATTTTTACAAGAGGGCTTTAAGATATATATTCATTTTAACAAAATGATTATCGATTCTTGTCTATAATACCCTTGATTATTCTGTGTTTGTACATGGGATTTTTTTTTTTAACTTTACTTTGCTTTGACTTATAAATAGTTCATGGAGAACACACTCATGGGAACCTATTATTAATCCAAAATTCCTTAATATAGTCATAGCCCATACATGTAGTTTTAGAAAAAATTGCTATCCTGAAAAACTAGAAACAATATCTTTACACTTTAAGAATTAATTCAAACCAATAATAAATTTTTAAACATTTAGCTAATTAGTTAAGTTTTTAACCGAACTTTTTATTTACCAGAATTTTAGTGAATCAAGATTATTATAACAAAAGTACAAAAAGATAAGATTTAGCTTACAAAAATTCATAAAATTAAGCAAGGTCAGATAATATATTTTAAAAACGAGAAAAGTCAACCAAGGAAAGTAAGAATAGAGGAGGAAAGGGAAGCCTGAAGAAAGAACAGCATAAAAGCTCTAGGCAAGGAGCCTTTAAAATGCATGCCCGGGGGGTTACTAAACCTCAAACAACCAATCATTGCCTCTTGTAGCTGTCCTAAGTAGTTAGGAGATTCTTAAACTCATAAAGTAAAACAAGGTGGTTTCTCAATAAAAAACAAAATAACAACAACAACAAAACAAAACAAAACAAAATAAAACATCATTATTCCGGACATATGCATGAAGATGAATTTTGTTTCTGTTTTTAATGATAAGGAAAAGCATACTAAGTTTTTAAATGCACCAGCCTTGTGTTACTATCTGAGGTGATTTTCGCGGGGCACTGTTCTGCATTACCTTCCAGGGAAGGGGCCCTCAAAAAGTCCAGCTCAACAGACGTGTGTCTCAAGCTTGCCACTTGCTTATGGGGTTTTTAGATACACAGAAAGCAAAGCAGAGTTAGGTGGGCTTCTCTCGGCCTTTCTTCCTCCGGATCTTTGAGCTGGGAAGGTGGAGAGAGCGCTTGCTGCCTTGCGCCTCTTGCTGTAGGCACAGCTGATGCCAGCTGGTGGACAGGAGGTACAAGTTTTGACTCCTGGCTTTGTGTGCCAGTGTGATGAACCTGGATGACCTGACAAGAAGAGGCCTGTACCTGAGTGACATCCCTCTGCACGACGCCACGCGAGACCTGGTTCTTTTGGGAGAACAGTTCCGGGAGGAGTACAAACTGACGCAGGAGCTGGAAATCCTCACCGACAGGCTGCAGCTCACACTGCGAGCCTTGGAGGATGAAAAGAAAAAGACAGACACGTAAGAACGTGGTGGGAAAGGGGCTGGCTTTAACTCATGGCTTGTTGCCGCTCACTCGTATAATGCTCCAGTTCATATTCCTACAGAAGGGTCCGGGACCTCTCACGTCTCTGAGCAAGCTGAGTCCTGTCTCATATACTCACTAACAGCAGTCCTTTCTTCGTACCTGTAGGATGTCTTCCCCAAGTTCTTGAATGTTCTTTTTCGTTAATTGGTATTGTTTGTAAAAGATGACTTTTTATTTTTGGAGAATCTAAGCTAACTGACGCGTTTCCCATTGGAATTATTACAGCAGCAGAAGATAGAGAGCTACAGCTCACTCAGTGCTTCCTCAGCATTGGTGCAGTGGAAGGCCTGTCTGCAGACACTGGGCACACAAATGAACAACAGTTAGCATTCCTTGTAAACGCCTGTCGTTACTCAGACCAGCTTTGCGCATCCGAAAGCTGTGTCTGCTTGCTTTGAGACCGCAATGCTTCCCCGTGGTCACAGGGCACCTAGTTTAATCTGGCCACGTGGCCTGTAAATGTCATCAGGCACACGCGGATAGGCAACTCAGCGTCTCCCACAGCATGAACACAATGCGGAGGACATGATTTGTCAGTACATGGTGTAGCTTCACTTAGGAAAAGCGACACTCTTTTCTCACATATTTGTATGTATGGTTGTGGCTCCATGTACGCTGTAGTTGTTCTCTGCTTTCTGTTGCTACAAAAACTGCCGAGATAATTCTTTCCTCATGGAGACATGAGGAAGGTTTGGGTTCATGTTTTCAGCGCCTGTTGCTGGCCCTGTTGCTTTAGGTTGTGAAGGGATCAAACACCACAGCAGGGATGCAGGACAGAGGAGGCAGCTCATGCCATGCTGGCTAGGATGCTAAAGGGAAGGATGAGATCTGTGAGTCAGTCCACAGTGTGCCCAAGTGACCCAACCTCCTCCCACTGGGTCTTACCTCTCAAAGGTTCTGCCAGTCTGCAATGGAGCCACATCCTGGGCCTAAGGCTTTAGAAACACGTGGGCCTTTGGGGAATGTCTCAGGTCCATACTATACCAGGAGTAAGCAGACATCAAGTACTACAAAGATGCAGACTTCAAATTATGAAAGTAACCATATATCCCGCATTCCATGCTAAAAATGCTGTTGATTCCCTCTGCTAAATTGTTGGCTGGAGTGTTCACTTCTCTCACTAGTCTACAGTTTAGCCCCTGGGGTTGATACAGTTGCCTCACTTCTGAACCAGAAAATAAGGATCCGTCACTGACCCATTCATTGTTTTGGTTTGCCCAAGGTAGAATGGATTTTCAAAAACTATTTGCACTATTTAGGGGTATTGTGTCTCATTAATTTTCATGACTGATTTTTAGACGGATACATTAGGATTTGATTCTATAGTAGAAACTTTATTGTAAGACACTTTCATCATAAACCATCTAGTTTCATTTAAAGCTCAGCTCTTCTGATCACACTTGGTATTAAGATCTAACTTCTATGTTGCCTGAAATACTTTCTGTTTAGAAGGTAAAATTAATCACTGAAGAAATTCTACCATGCTAGAGAGAAAATAGAGAGTCAGATCTGTTTTTCATATTTGAACTTTGCCCTGTGGCTAAAAGGATACAAAGGCTAGAAATGCGTCCTTTTTTCTTGTTTCTTCAGGCTGTGAGCCCAGAGAGTTTCGCTTTCCTTCTAAACCCTCCAAAATCCCCTCCTACTCAGCAAAAGTCACAATGCCATGGCAGTGGTCTCAGAATTGCCTACATAAATAAAATGTCTGCTCATCTGGACCACTCTTCATCACCACTTTATCATTTTCTTCCACAAAGAAGTGAAGCATAAATAAGACCAGAAAGCAATTCTCCTCTATTTGCTGTGCCTTTCCAATATTTGAGATAAATTTTATTCCTGTAACTGAATGCTCCTCTCATTGCAGTATTTGTACAACATTCTAGATGTTTATACTGGCAATGTCAAACCTGTCACTGTCATCTGGGTGCGGTGACTCCCACCTGTAATCCCAGCACCCAGGGAAGCAGAGGCAGGCAGTTCTGTGAGTTTGAGGCCAGCCTGGTCTACAGAGCAAGTCCAGGACAGCCAAGGCTACACAGACTAATTCTGTCTCAAAAAAACCAAAAGAACTACAACAGAAAAACCAAACCAAAAACCTGTCATTGTCATAAGAATAGGGTAAGAAGCCAGAACTACAAATGAAAACTATAAGGTCCTATTGATGGTCTTTTTTTTTTTTCCTATCTATTTGTTTGTTTGGCTTATTTTGAGTCGGTTTGAAATGGCTTAGGATTGGGTATATATGTGATCACAACAGAAAAATGGTTGGTGTGTTCTTTTCTTTATATGTAGCTAAGGTCTGACACTGGTTTGAAGGGGTGTCTTATTAAAATCCAGCACAATTCCATTGGTGCAATAGAGGGGCAGAGCAGAGTGGTAAAGGTTCCCCAGCATGTCTTACAGAGATTTCACCTCATCTCCGTAGACTGCTGTATTCTGTCCTCCCTCCTTCCGTGGCCAATGAGCTGAGACACAAGCGCCCAGTTCCTGCCAAAAGATACGACAATGTGACTATACTCTTCAGTGGCATTGTGGGCTTCAACGCTTTCTGTAGCAAGCATGCATCCGGAGAAGGGGCAATGAAGATCGTCAATCTCCTCAATGACCTCTACACCAGATTTGACACACTGACGGATTCGCGGAAAAACCCATTTGTCTATAAGGCAAGTCTCATGGGATTCTGTTGTAGTGTAGTACAGGTCAGGGCTTCTGAGAGTCCCCTGCAGAAGCCCATGGTCACTGTACCTGGACTATAGCAGCTTTGCCAGCGTGGTAAGTGTCGCTGTAGGCCACTGGCCTAAATAATTTCCTCATTGTAAAGAAATGGGTTGTTTGATAATTTCATACATGTGGGTAATGCATTTGGGTCATAGTCACACCCGCCCTCTCTTACCTCTCCCCCACCCCACTCTTGCCATCAAGTACCCCTCCCACTTTCATTTCTTTTTTGTTTTGTTTTGACACATCGAGTTCAACCAGGGCTGCCTGCACAGGAATGGGTGTGGAGCTATCCATTGGTGTAGAGACAGCTTAGCAGTAGCTACACCACTGAAGACAATGCTTCTCACTTCCCCAGAAGCAATCTCACACCTATGATTTAATGTTGACTTGCCCCAGCCTTGCCCAGGCCCTGTCAAGGCACCTGAAGCTGCTCTGTGACCCTGAGTACAACAGCCGTGGCATTCCCAGAAGACATAACTTCACAGCCTTCTTCCCCATCATCGGATTTTACATTTTTTTCTGCCCCCTCCTCCCAGATGCCCAGTGAGTCTTGGAGGAGATGGTGCATATGTTTCCTTTGGCGCTGTGCGCTCAGCAGTCATGCTTAGCTTTTTGAACAGCCATAAGTGCTGCGCTAACATAACCACTGCTCACTACAAAAGGAAGCTTCTTTCCTGACCAAGGTTGAGGGCAGCGATTTCAACACTGCATACTCACCTCTTAGGAAACTTTCTTTTCATTGTAACCACATGATGTTTCATGAAGCAGCCAGCCTCTGGCTGACAGGAATCCAGCAGTTTCTGTGCGCTTAGGTTAACGACTCTGTGACATTGTTTGTTACTTTTACTATAAACACAGCATTCATTTTTCTTCTCAGCCAAAGACATTTTTTCCTAAAATACATAAATGCTTTGCACTGTGAGGAAGCCATGGAGCTTTAGAATGTTCCTGGGCTTCGGGTTTACTTTTAGATACCATCAACTTGAAGATAAACATTTACAAGACATCTCTGCCTTTGTTTTAAGTAGAAACAAATATAATATTGGAAAAATGAAGTCAGTGGAATATTGTTTTATAAAGGCAAGAATGTTACTGAGTGTCTCTAGGCTCCCGGGTAGCATAACTTCATAAGGACTCTTTATTTTGTGATGCTTTTCTGAGGCACAGTGCTACACTTGGTGAGCATGTCATAACAGTACAATAGCTTAACCCAGCCTACTTGGCTTACTCTGGAAAAGAAGATGGCATCTGAGGAATGAGGTCATCTCGAGCCTCGATGTGCACGTTCACAGAGACACGTACCAGCATAGCACACATACGCAAAATAGACAAGCCATTACATTTAAAAATGAAAAAATAATTAAATGAAAATTAAAATAACATTGATAGAAGCCGTGATAAATCAATGAACTTCAGTCAACAGCTCCTATATTACTGAACCGCTGTTGCCTGAGGAAGAAGGGAAGTAATAGAATATTCTCCCGAGAGCTGTGCAAGCATGAGGACCTCATTTTGGAAAAGCCAGGATGTACATCTGTAACCTCACAGTTGGGGGAGGCGGAAGCAGACAGGTCCTGGGGGCTACCTGTTCAGTTAGTCCAGCTTAACACCGAGCTCTAAGTTCTGGAAGAGACCCTGCCTCAGAAATAAGGTAGCAGGCTGCAGATGGAGATGTGTCTTTGTGGCAAGGTGCTTGCCTGGTGTGTTTGAGAACCTGGATTCAAATTCAGTCTGCAGAACTACACACACACACACACACACACACACACACACACACACACACACAGAGAGAGAGAGAGAGAGACAGAGAGACAGAGAGGCAGAGAGAGGTTTCATCAAGCTGCAGCTTCTATGTGCCGAAGCAAGCATACTACCCACAC